GAATGGGGCATTGTTCGCCGCTCCGCCCCGGGCCAGGCAGATCTGGACCCACCCGGACCCACTCAGGCTGGCAGAGACAGAGAGATCTGGGGAGAGTCAGAGTCAGAGATGGGGAGAGACAGAGAGAAGAGGGAAGATTGGGAGACGGAAAGAGATGTAAACAAGGAGAGATTTAGGGCTGGGGAAACCAGGAGGACAGGACAAGCATTGTGAGACTGAAGGATAGAAAGAAACAAGCAAGGAAGGAAAGGTAGAAGGAGGGCAGAGGAGAGGGAGGGCCAAGCAAGCATCAAGCATCGAGGTGGAAGGGGCAGGACCAGCCAGCCAAGACCGACCTTGTGACAGGATAGGGCACAGCAAGGGACCAGCAGACAGTCAGCAAGATGAGGGGTCAAAGGAACCCCACGACGGGAGTGCAGGGGGGACTTGGAGACACGACCCCAACTCCCTGCTCTGGGGTCTCCCCCCACCCCTACCGAGTCCCTTCTCCACTGGCTCTGGGCTAACACTCAGAATTCACACGCCTTCCCCCAGTACTGGGGATTGAACCCAAAAGTACATTCCCAGCCATTTACATATTTTTTATTTTGAGACAGGGTCTCACAGTTGTTACGTTGCCCAGGCTGGGCCCCAACTTGGGATCCTCCTGCCTCAGCCTCACAGAGTGCTGGGATATGACAGGTGTGAGCCACCACACCCAGCTCAGAATGTGCACTTCTGTCCCATTATAAAGACATCGTCTACACAGAGACCCAGCCTTTGGGGAGGCTGCCCAATTCTCCAGGTCACCTAGAGACACATACTCATCTGAAATACACTGACACCTTGGGTTCAGGGCTCACAGTCCCACCACAGTGACAGCTCTGAGTGACATGGCCCTGCGGCTGCACTGCCAAACATGTCAATGTCAGCTGGCACAGGACACTGCATGGGAATAGTCATGAACGATCACCCAGACACCCAGGGCACCCTCCCCCTTGCTCACACACGCCTTCCACTCTGAGTTTGTCTGCTGGCCTGGGTGGGGGCCCAGGCCTGGGGGTCTTTGGGGAGCTATGCAGGCACAGGTCCGTTTCTCTCCATTGGAGTCCATGGGAGCTGGCAGGTATCAGACTCCGGGGAAAACTGGGCAGACAGAGGAGGGAGGTGAAGTCTCAGCTGTCGCCCTCACAAGGCTGAGTCAAGCCAGGCCAGGGCTGGTTCCCTAATTGCGTGGCTGGGTCAGCCCAGCCCAAACCTGGATCAAGGGCGGCCCCTGGTGGCCTCCTATGGTCTTACACTCATCCTTAAGGAATGATGGGTTGCTGGGTTGCTGGGTTGCAGGGGCCATGCACGGACTAAGGCTGAGCCAGAGCTGGAAGGCTGGAGTCTGAAAGGGAAACCCAGGTCCAGAATTCGAATTCTGTGAATCCCGGAATGCAGAATCAGAATCTAGATGCGAAAGGCTTGGGATGTAGCTCAGTGGTACATTAACTGCTTAGTTAGTGTTTGATCGTTGGCACTAAAAAGAGGGAAAAAATAGGCCAGGGATTTAGCTCAGTGGCACTATGCCTGCCTTGAAAGCACAAGGCCCTAAGTTTGATCCCCAGTACCGAAAAAATAAAAGGAAAAAAGTCTACAGTTCAATAATACCAAGATCTAGAGTTCAGATCCAAAAAGGCAGAACCCAGACTAAAATCCAGATCCCTCCAGCACTTGGGAGGTATAGACAGGAAGATTGCCTCGAATTTAAGACCAGCCTGAACTATAAAGACCATCTCAAAAAAAGTTAAATATTAAATGAAAAAAATAAAATGAGTGAAAGAATAAATAAAATCAAGTTTCTTTATCCAGAACCACAAACCCATATTCTGGAAACCAGAATTCAGAAATCTAAATTCCATTATTCAGAAGCAGAATATACCTGGACGTAGTGGTGCACACCTGTAATCCCAGTCCTCAGAAGTCTGAGTCAGGAGGACCACTTTGAGTTGAAGGTCAGCCTGAGCTCCATAGTGAGTTCAAGGCCAGCCTGAACTACACAGTGAGGTCCTGTCTCCAAACAAACTGAAATCAAAACCTGATGAATTAAAAAAAAAAAAAAAAAAAAAGTAGAATGTAGGAGATGGAATGCAGCCCCAGGAGCCTGGAAATTGGAGTTCAGAGGGCAATCTGCAAAGTCCAGAGCCTTGAGCCTTCCCCAGAGCCTTCTGGATCAGGGCCAGGAAGCAGGGGCCAACGAGGTAAGGACGAATCTGAAGGGAGAGAGAAGAGCCTACTTGTGAGACACATGGCCTCTCCCAGCTATTGCCCCTTCGCAGCCTGCCTGTGTGCCCACACACACGCACACCCCACCAAAAGGATCCTACACACAGATTTGCAACCGGTGACCGTCACATGCAGCCTCACTTTGCTCAGATGACTCCCACAATCACACACACACACACATACAAACGCACGCACCTACACCCTGACACCACTCCTAAAGACACACGGAACCACTGTCTTCTCCCACAAGCAGATGCACCCCTTGTGCACTGCATGGCATCAAAACTGTGCCCCACTATCCTGCCAAGCTCCAAGGCACACGGCCACCACCCAGACACGTGCAGGCCCACGACCCCCAGCCCGGAGCCCTCATGTGCATGAAGAATCCTGGTGGAGGCTGGGATGAGTGTGCACTCACACACACACACACACACACACACACACACAGAGGCTCCCCAAGCACAGAGAAGCCCCACGCCTTGGCAGCCACGCAGCCCCTGGGAACGAGACCCCAGGGACGGGGCTCAGAGCGCATCGCTGTCTCCACCCCAGCCCTCCCCGCCTAGCCGGCTGGCGGGCTTTAATACAGATGCCAAACTCATAATTGTAACTGAGGGTGACAGGGTCACCTTGAGCCCCAGATGCTCACGCGGTGACAGATGGCGTTGGCAAACCTGATTAGCAGCCCCCGTGCCAGCGCCTGTGGCACC